AAATGTTGAAAATATTTGGGAGCTTTTATCTAATTCTTAAAAGATTTTAGGGTTACCTCTTCAGAGGGGGGAATGTTAGAGTAGACAAAAACCCCATAAAAAAGTAAGTAAATCAAAGAAGAAAGAGTACATGAAGTTATCAAAAAAAAGTGATGGGGAGATATGGGAGGAGTCAGAGGGGAGGGAGTGGGTATGGATTTGATCAAAACACCTTATATGCATGTATGAAATTTTCAGTAAATTATTTATTTTAAAAAATCACTATGTCTAAGTAGATCAGTGCAAGAACTGTATTCAGTGGCCTATCATGTCTAATTTTGATGCATACATGCATATCTGTAAACAGGAATAAGTGTGGGTATAGTCTAACATGAGAAAGGAAACCAAGAGAGAGTAATATTTGGTGAGAAGGAAGAATGGACTGCAAGCAAAAGGAGGAGTCATGAAAGAAGAGATACAACTAATTGTTTTCTAGCTTCATCTCCATTGTAATTATTCCTTTTCTTATGCTGAATATGTGAATTCAACTTTCTGGGTATTGAAGCAGCAAGAGCCTTTCTTCTTTTTTGAAACTTAGTCTTACTGTGTAGGCCTTGCTGGCCACAAACTCACAGATCTGCCCTCCTCTGCCTCCAGTTGCTGCGATTAGAAGCGTGTGCCACCACACCCAGCAATAACCTTTTTTCTCCCCTTGCAAAAGAATACAACATGTTATTCCTGTGAGGCAGTTATTATGAAAGCTGGATTTTCTTTTCCATTGACCATTAGACAGATATCTTTTTCTTTTCCTGCTCATCCTTACCCTATTTTATTTCTAATCCTTCAAATGAAAAGAAATATACCAGGGGCTGGAGAGATGGCTCAGTGATTAAGAGCACGTGCTGCTCTAGTAGAGGATCCAGGTTTGATTACTAGCACCTACATAGCAGCTCACAACTGCCTGTAAACCCAGTTCTAGGGAATTGATGCCCTCTCTGGCCTCTGAAGGCATGCATGCACATGGTACATATACATACATGCAGGCAAAACACTCATACACATAAAATGAAAGTAAATAAATCTGTTTTTAAGAAAACCAGCATGAGTCTGGAGAGATGGCTCAGAAGTTAAGAGCACTGACTGCTCTTGCAGAGGACCCGGGTTTGATTCCCAGCACCCACCCAGTGGCTAACAACCATCCTTAACTCCAGTTCCAGGAGAATCTGATGCCCTCTTCTGACCTCAGTGGGCACTGTATGACACAGGTGCACCTATCTACACGCAAGCAATATACTCATACACACAGAATAAAAATAATAAAACATTTTAAAACCCCAGCATTTATTCATGGCCTGGCCTTTTTCTTCAGGTATTCAAGATAAACTGGATTACATCACTACTTTAAATGTAAAAACTGTTTGGATTACTTCCTTTTATAAATCATCCCTGAAAGATTTCAGATATGGTGTTGAAGATTTCCAAGAAATTGATCCGATTTTTGGAACAATGAAAGATTTTGAGAATTTGGTCGCAGCCATACATGATAAAGGTAAATTGAGTGGGAAGTGAGGGGACACAGGAGTGAGGGTTGAAAGTGGCCTGCCTCCTAGGCTCACTCAATCATCTTCCCCTTTAACCATCATGCATTATTCTAATATAATCTGTTCCTAATATTTAAAATGTTTTCGCTCATTAGGTTTGAAATTAATAATCGATTTCATACCAAACCATACCAGTGACAAGCATGCTTGGTTTCAATTGAGTAGGACACGGAGCGGGAAATATACTGATTACTATATCTGGCAGGACTGCACTCATGAAAATGGCATAACCATCCCTCCCAACAACTGGGTAAGAACCTATCTGCCTGATTCTCAGACAGAAAATGGCAGATCAGTAACTGAATCAGAAATATATGTAGCCCTTTTAGGGAAAAGCATCACAGTATAGAGTTTAGAAATAGCAAAAGTTTCCCAAGTAGATTTAGGTTTCTGATTTCATCCTTGAGCTGATGTGTCTCTTAACATTCTGTCCATGGCTAGACAGGATCCTAGCCATGAGCAAACACAGACATCTGCTTTTTCTTCTGAGTCTTGCTACCTGAGCCTCAGGGCACATCCTACTTTTCTTGTCCCCACCTGACCAGAGCCATTACGTTGACCGTGGAATGGTTACTAAGTCCCCTTGTGCTGGATGGCTTTGGTGTCAACTTGACACACCTGGGTTGAGGGAGCCTCAGTTTGGGAATTGCCTCTATTGTACTGTCCTGTCTCCATGTCTGAGGGGCATCTTCTTGATGAGTGATGTGGGAGGGCCAGCCCACTGTGGGTGGTGCCACCCCTGCGCAGGTGGGCCTGTGTTGCATAAGAAAGTAGGCTGAGCAGGGGCCAGGGGAGCAAGCCAGTAAGCAGCGTTCCTCCATGGCCTGTGCTCCAGCTCCTGCCTCTAGGTTCTTGCCCTAAGTTCCTACTTGGGCTCCCTGATGAACTGTGACCCAGGAGATGTAAGATAAATAAACTCTTTCCTCCCCAAGTTGGTAGTTGTCAGAGTATTTTGTCACAGCAATGAAGAAACAGAGTAGGACATCTCTTCTCTTCCAACTCTCTCCTGCCTCCTTCCCACCTTGGCTTTCTCATCAGCAAACTCTACTTCTTAGAGAGCCTTGAAGCTACCTGCTCGCTCTTTTTACAAAGGAGACCATGTCCTTTCTGTCTCTCAGATTTAGCAATTACGAATTTAAGATGTGTGGTTAAATCTGGGTTTTAAACAGTGAATAAATTTTTAGTATAAAACATTGTATGGGCCATGTTTATATAGCCAGTCCTCCTTCCTTACACAGATTCTACGTCTGCATATTCGACCAACTGTAAATAAAAAATGTTTGGGAAAAAAAAATCACAAAGGTACTGAATTAGTGATAGGCCTTTAGCTGACCAGTGTTACTTGAAAATGTCTTACTTAGCACAGCTGTAACTTAGCATTCAGTTTGAATTAGGCACTTTAAGTAATCTAGTGATCATATGGAGCAAACCAGACAATGTGTGAGGATTATGTACAAATACCCATTTTTACAAAGGAGACCTGAGTGTCTATTAACGTTGGTATTTGAAGGAGTCCTGGAACCAACTCCCACATGGATGCTCAGGAAGGACTCTGCTAAAACGCTCTGCACTGCTTCTGCAGATTTGTCTGGCAATCTATATCCCAGCAGGCAAGCCTGCTTTTGTCTCAGGCAAGATCCTCCTGCTCAGTTCTGCTTTCGCTCCTGAGTCTTTCCAAGTTGTTTGCTTTAAATCCCCTTGTGCCACTCCAGTCCCTTCTCTCCTCACCTGATATTCTCTGTATACATTTACACATGCTGGCTCTTGAACACCAGCTTCCAATGACCCAAGGACACATTCCTCATGGCTGACTGTGTGATCTCTGTGCAACTTCCCATCCACCAAGTTCGGTGCACAGTGCTACCATGCAGCTTTGGGGCAGACCATCAGCCTGTCCCGGCAGTCTTACTGCTTTAAATTCTTTCCCTTCCATTCCATCTGCTTGTTAAAAGATGGCAATGATATTAGCAAATATTTACTAAATGCTTACTGTGTGCCAGGCTCTCTCAAGTGTCTACATTCATTAATTCATTCAATCCACCCCTTCCCCAATCCCATGAATTATGTTTTAATACCTATTTCACAGACAGGCAGAATGGAAATCACACAGCTAGTAAGTGAAAGGGCTAAGGACTGGATATAATCAATGTAACTCCACAGTCTGCGTTTAAAATTTACCACTCATTCCTCAAACCAGATCATCTTTTGACCACAATATATTCCAGATGCTTCTTTGGTGTCAGTTTTTCTATCCTCCCATCAGCTTTCCACTTGCACTCAAGGTTGCTTTTCTAATACAAAAAGGCTGGGCGTGGTGGCACACACCTTTGATCCCAGCACTCGGGAGGCAGAGGCAGGCAGATCTCTGTTGAGTTCAAGGCCAGCCTGGTCTACATAGGGAGTTCCAGGACAGCTGGGGCTACAGGGAGACCCTGTCTCAAAAAGACCAAAAAAAAAAAAAAAAAGTTAACACAGGAGCTATAGAGGTGATCAGTGGTTAAGACTGCTTGCTGCTCTTTCAGAAGATCTGAGTTTGGTTTCTAGCACACACATTGGGTGGCTCACAATTGTCTGTAACTCCAGTTCCAGGGGATCTGGCATGTCTGACCTCTACAGGCACCCTTATGTGGCATACGTTCACACAGATATACATGCATTCATATCAGTAAAAGTAATCTTTAAAAAGTTAACATATGCTGGGGATGGTGGCACATGCCTTTAATCCCAGGACTCCAGAGGCAGAGGCAAGTGGATCTCTGTGAATTCAAGGCCAGCCTGATCTACATAATGAGTTCCAGACCAGCTGGGGATACAAGGAGTGCTGGGATTAAAGGCATGCACCACCATGCCCAGCTATTTAAACTTTTTAATTACATTTCTTATTTATGTGTTTAGTATGTATGTGGGGGGTATGCATGTGCCAAGGTGCACTTGCAGAAGTCAAAGGACAGTTTGCAGAAGTCTGTTGTCTCCTACCACGTGGGTCTCAGGGACGGAACTCATGTCCTCAGGTTTGTTTGCAAGTGTTTTTACCCACTGAGCCCTCGTGCCAGTCCTGTGAGGGGCTATTTAGAGATGGGAAAGATGAAAAGAAAGATGAGAGGAAAGGGTTACAAGGCTGCCAGGGTGGATATGTTCACTATCCTGATTGCTTAGTGTTTCGTGAGCATGTACAAACATAGACACTTTGACATGTTAGTCAAAACTAATCAATTTGGGTACTTTAAATCCATATGCAGTCTATTGTATTGTACTCAGTTATCCCCAAATAAAGCTGCTCAAAGCTACTGGTAGTATAGACCTAAGATGAAGAAAATAATATGAGGAATACCAATGAGTCTCCAGCCCACACAAATTAAGAACCCGAACATGATCAGCAGAGCTCATATCACCTGTATCTTTCTCCCTGTGATTCCCATACTTCTTTTTCTTGGGGGGGGCATGGTTTTTTTTTTTTTTGAAACAGAGTCCCACTATGAAGCCTTGGCTAGCCTGTGACTTGCTATGTAGACCAGGTTGGCCTTGAACTCACAGAGATCCTCTTGCCTCTGCCTCCTGAGAGCTGACGTTAAAGGTGTGCACCACCACACCCAGCTTCTTCTTAAAGGCAGGCACTGCCTTGAATTTTAGGATTTTTTTCAGCTCTTGCTTTTTGCTTTGGCTATATCATATATGCTATATATTTAATTTTAAAGTTTCCTTTATTTTGAACTTTGTGATAAAGTCTATTATGCTATATAGTCTTCTATAACTAGTTCTTATCTTATAGCTCACTAAATATTATTTATTTATTTATTCATTTATTTATTTATTTATATGTGTATAAATGTTTTGCCAGCATGTATGTAAGTATACCTGTGTCATGCAATGCCCACAGAGGCTGTAAGAGGGCATTGGATTCCCTTGGAACTGGAGTTAGGGACAGTTGTTAGCTGCCATGTGGGTGCTAGGTCTTCTGCAAGAGCAACCTGTGCTCTTAACCACTGAGCCATCTCTCCAACCCCTGTCACTCATTTTTTACAAAGATCATAGGGATGGAGCAATGGAAGAGCAGTTAAGAACACTTACTGCTCTTTCAGAGGACCGGAGTTCAGTTCCCAGCACCCACATTGGGTGGCCCTTAACCACTTATAACCCAACTCCAGAAGCTCCTAGGCATCTGGCCTCCCCAGACATGTGCACATACCCACACACAGACATACACATACACAAATTTTTTTTAAATCTTTGTTTTAAAAAAAGATCTATTCATGTTTTGATAGTCATGGTTCATACATTTTATTATTGTGGATTATTGTATTATGTAGTTATTCCACTCATCAGTTAGTAGGTAGCTAGCCTGTTTACAATTCTATCATTAATAATGTCATAAACATGCTTATTAACCTGTTTTGAGGCATGTCAACTAAAGCCTCTGTAGTTAAACAACAGCAGTGAAATCTCTATGCCAAAGTGATTATACCAATTATAAACTCATGGGGAATGATTTTTTAAAAAGTACATAAGCCGGGTGTGGTGGTTCACACCTTTAATCACAGCACTTGGGAGGCAGAGGCAGGCGGATCATCTCTGTGAGATCAAGGCCAGCCTGGTCTCCATGGTGAGTTCCAGGCCAGCTGGAGCTATAGGGAGACCCTGTCTCAAAAAGGCAAAAAAAATCCTCAAAAAAAGAGTACATATTCCTACTAATTCTTGATATTGGTCAAGCTGTATATTTTTTACCATTCAAGTAAGCATAAAAATATAACATCAAGCCGGGCGTGGTGGCTCACGCCTTTAATCCCAGCATTTGGGAGGCGGAGGCAGGTGGATCTTTGTGAGTTTGGGGCCAGCCCAGTCTACATAGTGAGTTTCAGGACAGCTGGGGCTACATAGTGAGACCCTGTCTCAAACAAAACAAAACAAAATAACAAAAAATAAATAT